AAAATACAAAGCCTAGGATGAGAGTTCAAGTTGAGTTTGGAAACATCTGGAGTCCCACTGAAATCACCAGTAAAATTATCAAATGTTCTAGTTCTGTGGCCAGATGCTTAGTTGAGCTTATTGCATGTAACTTCTTAGAATTTTATCTGTTTTGTATTTTAGAAATGCCAGTTGCTGCATTCCCAAACTCTTTATGTGCACTGTGAGCCTACAGACTATCATTTTCCTTTGGGTGGGTTGTTGTTTTACTTGTGAATGAAAAACCTCTTAAACCACACCACTAGGGAACGAAAATATTGACATTGTATATGTAAAAAACATTTAAAGAGAAGAATATATTAGTTTTTTAACTGGTATTTTACTTTTCATATATTCAGGAAAGAACAGAAGTGATTGAATATTGTTAATTATACCACTGTGTGTTCAGAAAAGTAAGAAACAGTCAGTTTCATATCAGTCACAGCACTTAAAAGTATCGTTATGTCGGATAAACCACATGTCCTGGAATTATTTTAGTAGCTTTTAATAGTATTAACTGTAATTTCCCACTTGTTCAAATTATTTTTGGTGAATCTTTGTCAACAGATTGATCTGTATCTTTTAAATACAGATCAAGAAGTTCCAAAAACCTAGCACTTTTTGAATTCTTCAATATAAAAATCCTTAAAATAAAGGCTGTCTCTTTAAAAGAGAAAAAAAAAAAGAAGTAAACAGTTTAACTTTATAGGGTTATTTATTAATCTTTTTTTTTTTACATCTTTAGTGGAGTATAATTGCCTTACAATGGTGTTAGTTTCTGCTTTATAACAAAGTGAATCAACTATACATATACATTTATCCCCATATCTCCTCCCTCTCGTGTCTCCCTCCCACTGTCCCTATCCCACCCCTCTAGGTGGTCACAAAGCACCAAGCTGATCTCCCTGTGCTATGCGGCTGCTTCTACAGGGTTATTTATTAATCTTGCTGGAAATGATTCCCATGATTTTGAGAATGGAGACTCCATACTTCTCTTTAGATCCTTAGTAATAGGTTTAGAATATGGGAAACCCCAATTATACTAGTCTCTTGATTCCACAAAAGTAGATTCCCTTCTCTGTTCTGCAGTATTTCACCAATGTGATTGTTTTTTATATATATTGTGAGAATAAACACAGTAATATTTGGAAAGTTTTTTGAGCCCTTTGGACCACGTGTGACATCAATAATGGCAGGATTCTTTCCAAACCACAAGTTTTTCCTCTCAAAACTCTTCTCTATTTTTGTACCATCATTGCCTCTTCCTCTCTCTTTTTTTTTTTTTTGCGTTATGCAGGCCTCTCACTGTTGTGGCCTCTCCCGTTGCGGAGCACAGGCTCCGGACGCGCAGGCTCAGCGGCCATGGCTCACGGGCCCAGCCGCTCCGCGGCATGTGGGATCTTCCCGGACCGGGGCACGAGCCTGTGTCCCCTGCATCGGCAGGCGGACTCTCAACCACTGCGCCACCAGGGAAGCCCTTCCTCTCTATTTTTAATAAGATTTATTTCAAACTATGAAATGCATGGTTATTGTAGGAAATTTGAATAATAAAAGTAAAAATACCCATAATTCGATCAATTTTTCCTCCAGAATTCTGATGAAATAATTGCAGTCTGAACAAGATATGTTACATTTTTTTTCAATGCTAGGAAAAAAATCTTTAAAAGAATTCACGCAGGCTTTTGACAAATTTGGTTAACACTCATGGACCATTTTATGGTTAATTGCATCCACTGGGAAAGCAATAGAGGTTTTGCCTCACAGATACAGTTGAATTCAGAAACTTAAATACTAGCATGATTTCACTCCATTGTAGGTATTTCTTCTTCACAAATATCATTTTAATAGATCTGTCAATTATAGCTATCACTTATAGAAAGCTTTATTTAATGATATAATCTTTACATCAACCATAACAGTAAATTAGCACTAGCCTCACTTTACAAAACAAAGGTTTGAAAACAACCGCATAGCTCTTAGGTGGTGAAGTGAGAATTTGAGGGGATTTGAACACTGCTCTCTCTGCTTCCAAAGGCATCCTTTCTACTACAGCCCAACACCTCACCATGAATATCATAATCTGCTTAACTAGGTCCTGTGGTTGGGCATTTCAAATGCTCCCCCCACCTTTTTTCTTTTTTTTTAAACTAAAATCAATAATGTTAGAAGTAATATCTTGGAGTATGAAACTTTGTTTTTATGATTATTTCCCCAAAATAGAGCTTAAAATCTGGATTAGTGTGTTAAAGGCAGGAATATTTTTAAGGCAATTTGTACACATTGTTAATTGCTTTCCACAGTGAGATTGTTCAAATTATAATCCATTCAGCAGAGCATGAGGCTTCCTGCTCCACTGTGCTCTTTAAAAAAATTTTGGTTCATTTAATAGATCAAAATTGACTCTTTGTTGCTAAGTTTAAAATTGTTTTGGTTGCTATAGTTAACTGTGTTTTAATACATCAATTCTACAGAGTGAAGGCTGGCTAAGTCTTTGAACTAGAAATGGGAAGATAGGGAAATGGTCTTCAGACTTTTTATTCCCTTTATTCATTCAATGGTTATCTAGTTCCTATTCTAGGTCAGGCATTGTGCTAGTGTTCAGGATATGAAGATGAAAGCCCATCCCTGACCTCAAAGAGCTTGTGAACTAGCAAGAGAAACAGACATAAATAGACTGTAGTACAGCGTGACTGGCACTGTGACCAAAGTAACACAGAAGAATATGCTTTGAGAAACACAGAGGAGGGCACTTAAACCAGCTTCAGGGAGGTCCTAGAAGCCATTTTGCAGGTGCTGAGGGCTGAACTCCGCCTTGAAGAGAAGCAGAAGTTAGCCAGCTTTTTTCTGACATCCCCAACCAGAATTAATTGCTTCCTCCTCTATGTTCCTTTACTAAAATATAGTGTACTTATTTGTTTCCACGGCTCTCGCTTGGCTGTTCTTCTTGATGGGGAGGGACTATATCCCTAATTAGCCCAAGACAATGCCCCAAAATGAGTAGGAATGCAATTAACATTTGTTGAATTATTTTGAAATTCTACCCATATAGCGATTTCCTCCCATACCTTCCTCTTGACATTTATATACATATGTGTGGTTTTTCTTTATATTGTAAAAATAATACTGTTCACCACATACCCATCAGGATGGCTAAAAGGAAAGCATGGAAAATGACAAGTGCTGAGGACGGATTTGGAGCGACAGAAATGCTCATACATCACTGGAGGCAGTAGAAATTGGTACGGCCACTTTGGAAAAGTGGCAGTATCTATGAAAGCTGGGTTGTACCTCATAAGCCAACAATTTCATTCCTAGGAACAAGTTCAACACAAATACATGCTTATGTTCACCACAAAGCATATTTTCACCAAAAGCAGCACTACTGATAGTAGCTCCAAACTAGAAAATACACAGATGCTCATCAGCAGTAGAATGGATAAACTTATTGTGGTATGGCCACAGCGCAAGGAAAAAGAATCTACACTTAACAATGTGAAGGAATTTCATAAGAATAATTTTGAGGGCAAAGAGCTAGTGTTTTTTTTAAGCACTTATTGGATGATTATTTTTATATAAAGAATAAAAATAGGCAAAACTATTCTATGCTATAGAAGTCAGGAAAGGTCGGTTAGAAGTGGAGGGTTAGTCACTGTAAGGGAATAGGCATGGAGAGCTTCTGGGGGTGCTGGTAAGTTTCTGTTTCTTGATCTGGGTTTTGGTTACACCTGTATATTCGGTTTGTTCCCTTTTCTGTATATGTATTATACCTAAATAGTATTTTTTTAAATATGTCTTATTTGAGAGAAAGCTGGAAAATACATAATGTTTAAAAATTTTTAAATCACCCACAATCTACTACCTAGAAATTACTATTAACATTTCGGATTATTTCCTTCTAGTCTTTTTTTGAAGCCGCAGTGCTTGTGCCATCTCCTCCCCTTCTCTGCTTCCCACATATTTACACACACATTTACTAAATTAGGTTCATTCCTATTTAGTTTTACTTCTGGTTTTTTATTTTTACTTAAATTTAATCCATATTATCAAATATTCGGGGCTTCCCTGGTGGCGCAGTGGTTAAGAATCTGCCTGCCAATGCAGGGGACATGGGTTCTATCCCTGGTCCAGGAAGATCCCACATGCCTCGGAGCAACTAAGCCTGTGTGCCACAACTACTGAACCTGTGCTCTAAAGCCCGAGAGCCACAACTACTGAAGCCCGCGTGCCTAGAGCCCGTGCTCTGCAACAAGAGAAGGCACCGCAATAAGAAGCCCGCGTGCAGCAACGAAGACCCAACGCAGCCAAAAATAAAAAAAAAAATTCGTTGCAAGCATGTTTTTAAACTGCTGCAATGTATTCCATCAAATATATATATGTAATATATGGTGTATATATATATAAAATATTCCTAATATAATCATAAATTCCTGGAAGAGAGTTGTGTGTGTGGTATGTATATATATGAAATATTCCTAGTATATAATAACATATATTCCTAGAAGAGAGTATGTGTGTGTGTATACATACACATACACACACACACACACACACAAACAGGTATAAGCTACTGGGTCATGAACGTTCTCTAAGCTCTGCCTTCATTCTGCATTTCCTTCCAGAAAGGTTGCATCTCACTGGCAAGGTTATTAGAGCTCCTTGTATCACAGTCCAACCCCAGGTCATTTATTATTTTTTTTATTCGTTGTTAAAGTGGTGGAGCTTAAAATAGGACTAAGGAATCCGCGGTTTTGCACCTGGCTAGGCGCTCAGCAG